AAGCTAAAGGCAAGAGGGAAAGTTATATTATCCTCCGTTATTAGCCCTTCCATGCAGATCATCTCTTCTTCTATCCCATTCATGAATGCAAAGATGAAGTTTCTTGCTTGCGGCAAGCAAGAAACTCCACTGCTTGCAAGGGGGTCAATATGCCAAGGAGATCCTTAAGGCTATTCGACCTCAACTTATCAGCCTCCTCCATCACACTCACCGTAGCTCTTGCGTGTTCATCAAGCGCTTCATCAGCATCCCTAGTCAGAAGCATTGCCATCCGATTGCCCAACTGTCCGTCAGATATCAAAATTGTGTTGCTCTCGTGCCTCGCCCTCTTCCCCAACTATATATAGCAAAATGGCCACTCAAATACTGTCAGAAAGCATCCCCCTTTCAGGTGAGAAGTAGAAGCAGTTCTTCCAGTTTTCACTCGAGAATCGATACAAGGACTTCATTGAATCAAAAAAAGTTAAGGGCTTCAGCTGAATTTCTTGGAATGTCTTTTTGTCCTACTAATGGTATTATTGATTGCATGGTAGGTTTACTCGTTGCTATGTTTATTACAAATAATTCATACAAAACAGGTTTCAGGACTGTAACATTTTATTCCCTGACCTCTCTGGTAGCACAAATTTACGACTTCCTTTGAACCAAAATAGTAGTATACTCTTTCCTCCCTCATTTGATGGTGCGCTCTCTTCCGGTTTGGTAATTTATGAATCACAAAACTCCAATTTTAATCTCAAAATTAATAAAATTTTACTGCCGTTAAACTTCATAGTAACACTTTATACACGCTTCCGGCTATGGAATGAATACTTCTCATTTCAATGGAAGATTTCAAATCTTACAAGGAGAATTAAAACTTGGAAAAAGTTTGAGAGTTTCCACGGTCACCTTGGTCAATGTTCTTACTAGTTCAATTGGATCAAAGAGCAAACTGGAAGATTAAAAACTAGCCCAAGCAGAGACTGAAATAAATGGGCCTCATCTGAACATCTTAGAACATCTGCTCCCCAAGAATATGTGGGCCAACTGCCACACAAATTCTGTCTGCGGGCACCCACCTTTCAGGTGAGAAGTTTCAGAAGTTCATTCGATTTTCCCTCAAGAATCAATTTTCTTTGAAAAAAAAAATATTAAGGGCCTTGTTGAACATTGATCTTAGAATGTCTGTGTCTCGTGCATTGATCTTAGAACATTGATCAGATTCATGATTCAAGACTTGAACTTAACAGTAGAGAAAATCTAAAAATCCTCTTTTAACTATTGAACCAATTCTAGTGGTTAAATTTTATCACCCTTAACTCTAGGGTTAGTAAAACTACACCTCCCTTCAACCAAAAGAATTGATAGTGATACCTCTTTTTGACGGCATGGTAAAATGCAAATAATAAAATCTAAATTTTGCCCCCAAAATAATAAGACTTAACCTCCCATTAATTTTATGCACAGTAACCACTTAGCCTCATATTCAAAAACATTTATTCACTTTGACCTCGAAAATGGATTGTTCATGTTTTTGCTTATTCACTTTGACCTCGAAAATGGATTGTTCATGTTTTTGCTTTTCTTCTTCATATTTGGAGTGACAAACAGTCAATAACAACTTGGGAGAGGAATGGATTGAATGGTACTGAAGAAGGATGTGAGTGACATATCACGAGTTCGAAACTTTCCATTTACACTAAAAGTTAAAAAAAAAAAAAACAACTTGATTTAAAGAATTCAAGAAATGCCTAACATTTTCTCGTTGCACCACTGTAATATGTAAACTCATTTATCTTTCGTTTCAAAATTTTGGGAACCATAGCATCCTTGATTATGGATTTGCAGCTGTTATTTTACAAATAAGTGTGACAACTTGATGCTTAAGAAGTGATTCAGAACCATGTTCTACGCCATTGCATTTGAATCCTAATTTTTTTAAAACAGAATATTTTCAGGGAAATGGAATTACTCTTAAATGAATACTCGAAAAGTGTGGCGTGATACTATGGTTTTCTTATGATGGCTTCTAAGCGATGACGATTTGTTTTTCTCCCTCAACTGAAATGCAAAAAAGACCAGACGGAACTTGTCTATCCCTTAAAACGGCCAATTTTTCACTAGCTTCTCTTTTTTGACAGTGTTCGGATATCTAATGCATTCAATTCTATGGGAAGAACTAAACAGTATATTGATTAAGTTCAGTGAGAAAACAAATGTTATTATCCTCAGAATTTAGCTGGTTAAATTGTCATTAACCCAAAAACTTGTACACATCAATAAAACACGACATGGCAACGCTATCCTTATCTTTTATAAGCTCCTTATAATTATGGAAAAATTACCACAGATAGAATAAAAGTATTTATCACGTGCCATACCTAAATGCTATTAATTCTATTTTATTGGTTGTTTTGACAAGTACTGAAATCTTTATTTCATTAAGAGAAACTAATGTTACTGAGAAACCAATTAATTTAGAAGCACGATAAATTCTATTATGGGCCTATTTTTTTTTTTTTTTTTGGTGTGTTAATATATCTTTCATATTATCATTTAGGGTGATTAAAGAAAACTCTATTATACATGAATACATCCTCAACATTTTTAGGGAAAATTTTCTAACGATAATAACAAATGTGTTTCTATCTGATAGTAGACGCCATTCAAAGGATTAATTCTACTTTAACATCCCTAAAGTTTTTCTCAATTCTCTCAGTTTTGCTCTTTAAGAATGTTTTTGCAACAAGCATGGCAATTTTATGAAACATGGATTCAAAATCCCCTCCAAACAAGTATTTAGCAAGTTTAACTATCTTATCTTTGCCTAATTCTTTTGAACAGATCTTTTGTCTTACTTTCAATTCCATTCTCTATCTCGCTTTTGATTATATTACCATTTCTCTTTCACAAATATCATATTTTAATTCTTTTTTTGTTTCCTTCAAATTTTGATAACTATGTAATACACGGAATTCAACAAACTAGGAAAATAAAAATTCATTGCTCTTCTATCTATCAAGGTTGGTCGTACCAAACATGCATGTTTCCATCTAGTTGTCAATGCAAAAATTGAAAACCCCATTAAAGGAAAATTTTAAAAGGCCCGAAGCTTGTGGCGAGTAGCTGGTGTTGCCAAACTCCAGCAAACTATAGATATGTTTGCGTTGGAATTTGCTCATGACAGTATGAAATCAGTACGAGAATCCCTTGGGACACGTTGGGTAGATCAAATCGTGTCATTCATTCATTATGCTATGGCAAAAGTCCCTTTTTTCTTCTCTTAATCTTTAGTACTACCAATTGTCAGTAGAACTAAATTCACAAGAGAAAACTTGAGAAAAATGGGGAAGGCGATTATTCTTTTCTTCTTCTTTTTTTTTCAGTGGCACTAATTGTTTATAATTTTGGTTTCGATATGTCAAAAACCCTATGTTTTTTTCTTTTGTCTTTCTCTTTTGTAGTTTTTCGTTCAATAAGATTTGCTTATCTAAACTTTTCCATCTATAAAATTGTATATTTTTAAAAAAAATATTATTTGCATTCTTATTTTTATCATTCACACTACCACCATCATTTTAATTATATAGTTTTTATTTATTAGATGATATGATGAAACAAATGATAGAAATACAAATAAGAAAAAATGGAATGTCAATTATAATAATATTTCCATTTGCAAATATTGATTGGATTCTCATTTTCCGGCCGCTATCAAATTGTCTGGACTCGTATAGTGATCTTCGGCCCCATACACCCCACGTGCCGCATAGTATAATTTTAGTTTACTTGCAAACACCATAGTCGGCATGCGGGTGTAGGAGAAGCGTATGGTAATGGCATAATCACAACACTTGGCAACAATTAATTGACAAATTAAAAATGGTCCCATAAAATGTTAAATCAAATTGGACATGAATGAATGAATGGTTCTATGTACAATTGTAGAAAATTTGGCATAGTGCTCTGAATTTTTGCCAAACCACATTTTCCTCCGAGGATCAAAATTTTGTACTCAATCAAAACTCTCGACCATTGGAACACGTGTAGTCCATCTTTCTCCGGTTTGAGTGGAGAAAGCAATATCATACATTGGACTATTATAAAATGTTATATCAAGAAAATGCATTGAATTGCTCTTTGACGTTGGTTCGAATGGTTTCAGGGTAGTTTAGTTAGATCCGAGGTCGTGCGTTCGAATCACCTCTCTACCGCTTATGTATTCTTGGGGGACGGGATACACAGACACTGGAAGATTAGTCTGACAAAAGCTGAGATACTACTCCCTGTGTTGAAAAAGAAAAAAAGAAAATGCATTGAATTGACCACCAATTCAGTCTTGCTTTGTGAAAAAAAAAATTTAAAAGAAAGTCTCATTATTAACCATTTCATTTTTAAAGCAAAATCTCATTAACCATATTTATGACTATGCCCTTAATTAATTTCTTGGAAGGAAACAAGGAACAATTGTTTCCTAATTGGCTCCATCAAGTAATCAAGAACAGCTAACCACTGAGCTCTAGCTCAGTGGCCACCGCCTCTCCTGGTGGGGTGGGAGGTCAGGGGTTCAACCCTTGCCTCCCCTCAAATTGTCTGCCCCTCATGGGCAACTCGGTTGGTCTCAGCAAGCCTCCTTAGGAGTGTCAGGATAGAGGAGCTAAACCAAACGATGTCGTTTGGGGAGATGTTAGTAATAAGGAAGAATAAGTAGAACGGTGCCGTATGAGTGCTTTCTTCAGTTGGCATCAGGCGCGTGAGTTGTAACAGAAATTAGTTAGAGGTAGTTAGCCTATCCTATTTGTACCAGCAAGATTGGTAGGAAGAGCATCGAAGAAATAACATTTGCAATTTCCCTCTTCTTTATTTTCTCTCTCTACTCACTATACTCTCTGTGCTTTCTTCCTCTTCTTCCTTACTAAGCTCATCCGAGCTTCTTTCCCATCTCCAATTTAGGGTTATGATAGTTGAAGCCTGACAAGTGGTATCAGAGCTTGTCGATTCCTCGAAAATTAGTAACAATGGCGGAGAGTACCAGATTCAAGACTTTGGAGGAACAAATTAAGAAACAAGATTCCAAGCTTCAGGAGGTGATCGAAGGACTACAGGCTTCACACCATCAACAACAGCAGCTTCGCGAGGAGCTGAGGACAGAGTTGGAGGAAAACAACAAGAGAATGGAAGGTCTGGTCACAGGAATCAAACAAGAATTCAGCGCTCTCATGAAGATGTTGCTGGACAAGGAGAAGCTGAATTTTGAATCTGGAAGGACCATGAGCGATCAACCGCCACTGTTGCCAACGCCACCACCAAATCAGAGGCTGCACCTAGGATTCGAAGGCGGCAGAGCGGGAAGAAGGGAGGCAAACAAACTTCTGATTCCGAATCCACCCAAAATTGATTTGCCCTTATTCTCTGGGGAAAATCCAAGAGAATGGATTCGGAAATGCAACAAGTACTGCGTAAACTACCAAATTCCTGAGGAACAGAAGGTCGAAGTGATTGAGATGTATCTGGAAGGGAAGGCAGACAGGTGGTTCCAGGGTGTTAAGGTGGAGAAACCTGAGATCACATGGCCAATGTTTGAAGAATTATTGTGTCGAAGGTTTGATAACAGGACAGGAAAAGATGTCGTGGAGGAATTCAACAAATTACATCAAACAGGGAAGGTCGAGGAGTACCAGGAAAAGTTCGAAGAACTCAAGACTCTCATGGCAGTGAAAAATCCACATTTGAGTGAAGAATATTTCGTATCAAGCTTCATCAGTGGCTTGAAGGACGAAATTAAGACTATGATCCGAATGTTGAGGCCTACATCTCTATTTGAAACTTTCGAGTTGGCAATACTGCAGGAGAATGCACTGCACTTGCAGTCCAGGAGTCCTAAAGAGAACGTAAAGCCTAACTCAGAGAATAGGTTTGGGATCTCAAAAAGTGCATCTCAGCAGATGAGTCACAGTTCACATTACAGAGTACCCCCTATTGGTTCATTCAGGAATACTCATTTCAAAGGCAAACCTGTTGCTAATACTGAAGCAGAACCAAGAAAAATCTCAGCACAAGAAATACAGTACAGAAGAAGTCATGGCCTATGCTTCAAATGTGGAGAGAAATTTGGGCAGGGACACCAGTGCAAACTTGGTCATTTGAACTTTCTGGTCAATGATGAGGAGGAGGATACTGAATTTGAGGATGCACTGGGAGAGCAAGACGAAACCACAGGAAATCCAGGGGAGGTTATGGAGATGTCCCTACACACATTGTCAGAGGCACTTAAGAGGAAAACAATCACCCTGGTAGGCGTACTGGATGGGGAGGAAATGCTGATACTGGTGGACACTGGCAGTTCTGATAGCTACATTAGCAGTGAGAAGGTAATCGCATTTGACATTCCTTATAAATTAGTCAATCCTTTTTCTGTGGTTGTGGGGAACGGGGCCTGTGTAACTAGTAAGGCAATATGTCCTAAGGTGGTATGGGGAATTAATCAGCATAGGTTCTGCTATGATCTCAAAGTAATGGATCTAAGTGGATGGGACATAATACTTGGGGTGGATTGGATGACTCAGTTCAGCCCTATAACTTTTGATTTTCACAAGCTGACCATTTCCCTACAACATCAAGGGGAAGCGGTACACTTGCATGGCCAGGCTGAAGACTGTGATTTAGATTTAATTAGGGGAGGTGATCTGAGAACATTCATTGAATATAAGAGACAGTTATGCATGTCCATGAGATTGGGACAAAGTGATCAAGGGCAGGGAAATGACATCCCTGCAGGGGTCCAGGGTATTATTGAAGAATTTGTAGATGTATTTGCAGCACCAACTGAGTTACCTCCAGTCAGGAGTTTAGATCATGAGATACCACTAAAACCTGATTCTCAGCCCTTCAAAATGAAGCCTTACAGATACCCTCACTCACAAAAAGGAGAAATTGAGCAGCAGGTTAAGGATATGTTGCAGCATGGAATCATAATTCACAGTAATAGTCCCTTTGCTTCTCCAGTTCTACTGGTCAAGAAGAAAGAGGGGACCTGGCGTTTCTGTGTAGACTACAGAAAGCTGAATGAAATGACTATCAAGGACAGATACCCCATACCCAATGTAGATGAACTAATCAATGAACTAGCAGGATCTAAGTATAAATCAAAGTTGGACCTCACTTCAGGTTACCACCAAATCAGGGTCAAGCCTAAAGACACATACAAAACTGCCTTCCAAACACACTGTGGTCACTACGAGTTCCTAGTAATGCCTTTTGGGCTAACAAACGCCCCGGCCACATTTCAGGCTCTTATGAATCAGATCTTCCAGCCTTACCTGAGAAAATTTGTTCTGGTTTTCTTTGATGATATCCTTATCTATAGTCCAACATTAGAGCTACATCAGCAACATCTGAGGACAGTCTTATCAATATTAAGGGAGCATAACCTGTTTGCAAAACGTTCTAAGTGCTCGTTTGCACAACTAACAGTAGATTACCTGGGCCACACTATAACAGAAGAAGGAGTGTCAATGGACAGTTCCAAGATAGATAGTATTCTGAAATGGCCAAGTCCAAGGACAGTGAAGGAATTGAGGGGATTCTTGGGGTTGACTGGGTATTATAGAAGGTTTATCAAGCACTATGGCATCATTCGTAAACCCCTGACTGAATTGCTAAGGAAGGATAGCTTCGCATGGAATCCAGAGGCTGAAGAGGCCTTTCTTGCACTGAAAAACATCATGTGTACTGCACCGGTTCTTAGCCTACCAGACTTCCAGAAACCATTCACCATTGAGACTGATGCCAGTGGAGGAGGAATTGGCACAGTATTAATGCAGGAAGGGCATCCTCTGGCTTTCCTTAGCAAGGCATTGTCACCTAAAAACCTGGGACTCTCAGCCTATGAAAAGGAATTGCTGGCTTTGGTAATGGCAGTGACTAAGTGGCGCCATTACCTTGTTGGATATCACTTCATTATCAAAACTGATCATCAGTCACTAAGGTATCTGTTAGATCAGAAACTTACAACTGCTCTACAACACAAGTGGTTCACCAAGCTTCTGGGCCTAGATTATGAAATCCAATACAAAAAAGGAGTGGAAAATAAGGTAGCAGATGCTTTGTCTCGATTGTACGAAAAGGGGCAGCCTCACATCACTACCACAGGGTCATGTCTAGCCTTGACAACAGTTAAGCCAAATTGGATACTAGAACTGCAGGGAAGTTACCTCTCAGATGATCACTGCAAGGATATTATCTCCCAGTTGCTCTTGGATCCTAGCTCACATCCAGGGTATGAATGGAACAGTGATTTGCTGAAATACAATGGGAGAATCTATGTGGGGTCAACTAATGGTCTGAGAGCCAGGATTATACAGGCATTACATTCCTCTGCTATAGGTGGCCACTCAGGTCAAAGGGGGTGTTGGCAAAGGATTAAATCCCTCTTCTATTGGCCAACAATGAGGCAGGAGGTTATTCAGTTTATACAGGCCTGTGATGTCTGCCAGAGATACAAAGCTGAACATGTACACTTGCCAGGCTTGTTACAACCCTTGCCTATCCCTCGTTTGGCATGGACACATGTAACAATGGATTTCATAGAGAGTTTACCCAACTCTCAGGGTTATGATACTATCATGGTGGTCATTGACAGACTGACCAAGATTGGTGGGAACTGACTTGCATTATAGCTCAGCCTACCACCCCCAATCCGATGGGCAAAGTGAAAGATTGAACCAGTGTGTTGAGTCTTATCTCAGGTGTATGACTGGGGAATTTCCAACACGTTGGAGCAGTTGGCTAGCAATGGCAGAATGGTGGTACAATTCTTCTTACCACTCCAGTTTGCAGCTGACCCCATTTGAGGCCTTGTACGGTTACAAACCTGTTCCCTTGCCACTGGGTCCCTATGTGGATACTATCATACCTGCAGCAGCTCAGCTTCTTCAGGAACGAATGCGAATTTCTAGTAGTCTCAAGGATCACTTAACTAAGGCACAGCAAAGAATGAAGTTCTTTGCTGACCAACAGCGTACTGAGCGATCTTTTGCGGTAGGAGACTGGGTCTTCCTCAAATTACAACCCTATAGGCAGCAGACAGTTGCTATCAGAAAATGCCTTAAACTGGCTGCCAGATTCTATGGACCCTTCCAGGTGGAAGCCAAAGTAGGATCAGTAGCATATCGTCTCAGGTTACCTGCAGGAGCCAGAATTCACCCTGTTTTCCATGTATCCCTACTGAAGAAAAAGATTGGGCCAGTGCAACAGGTGTCTGGGGCGTTGCCGGAGTTTGACAATGCAGATCAGTGTCCCTTGCAACCAGAATCTGTGCTGCAGAGGAGAACCATCATGCGCAATGGTCAGCCAGTTATTCAGTTCTTAATCAAATGGTGTCAGCTGGAACCTGAGGAAGCGTCGTGGGAAGACCAGGATTTCATACACTCTCAATTTCCTCATTTCCAGTCTTGAGGACAAGACAAATTTTTTGGGCAGGAGGTAATGTCAGGATAGAGGAGCTAAACCAAACGATGTCGTTTGGGGAGATGTTAGTAATAAGGAAGAATAAGTAGAACGGTGCCGTATGAGTGCTTTCTTCAGTTGGCATCAGGCGCGTGAGTTGTAACAGAAATTAGTTAGAGGTAGTTAGCCTATCCTATTTGTACCAGCAAGATTGGTAGGAAGAGCATCGAAGAAATAACATTTGCAATTTCCCTCTTCTTTATTTTCTCTCTCTACTCACTATACTCTCTGTGCTTTCTTCCTCTTCTTCCTTACTAAGCTCATCCGAGCTTCTTTCCCATCTCCAATTTAGGGTTATGATAGTTGAAGCCTGACAAGGAGCTGATGTCCAGTGCCTGCAATGGTCCGAGTCCCGTGGTTATCGTGTTCGGGGGATGGGGCCTCTCCTCCCGGACCGGAGTGGGATTAGTCGGGCCCCGTAATGATTGACCGGGACATCCACTCCATCAGCAAAAAAAAAAAAAAAAAAGTAATCAAGAACAGCTACTGCAAATGTGTATCTTCATAAATTGATAAATGGTCAATGCCATGTGAAACTTTCCCTCAACCCACAGAGTCCAAAACAATAGCAAACCTCAAATGAACAATTTGTATCCTAATCTAACTGTCTAAAGTTTATATCACATCAAACATTATTAGCTACATTAATTGTATCCAAAATGTTTGAACGATTACACAGGCGAGAGATCTATAGATAAAACTTTTTATGCTAATTATTTAGCATATACACGGTACATTGTAAATCCAAAGAGTTAAAAAAAAGGGGGGTAATTTAGGTGTGTTAACATAATGCGCGCTTAGCGGGATATGGATCAGAAAAACCCAAAAAAAAAAAAGGGAAAATGATCGGTTTCATCCTTCACATTTCACAAAAATATTCTTTTCGTCCCTCACTTTTAAAATGAAACAATTTCGTGCTTGACATTTAAAAATTGAAATTATTATATCCCTAAACCCAAATTTCAATCTGAATCAAACCACCAATCAACCTGATTACAAATTTTGCGGGTGTAATTGGTAGATCACTTGGTTAACTCAACTTGATATTCATGTGAAATTTAATGAACCTAAAAATAAAAAATAAAAAATTATAACTTAAAAAAGAAAGATTAATCTTTTCTACATTATCATTGTATACACTGACGATTTTATGTACCGCCATATCATTTTAATTTTAATTTAAACACCAAATTTTATATTTATGATACACATTTAGATTCGCAAGTGGATATACTAACGGTACATGAAAAGATTTATCAAAAAAAAAAACTCTACTATTCCAAGACAAATAATGGCCTTTTATTTTTTTGGTTTAATAAATGTCATGTGAATATGATAAAGTTGACCAAATGATCTATCAATTCTATTTTCGAAATTTATTACTGGGTTATTGGATGGTTTGATTTAGATTGAAAATTAGGTTCAGGGATTTAATAGCTTTAATTTTTAAATGTCAAGGATGAATTTGCTTCATTTTAAAAGTGAAGGACGAAAAGAATATTTTTGCGAAATGTGAGGGATGAAACAAGTCATTTTCCCAAAAAAAAAAAAGAAAAGAAAAAGAAAACAAACGTATGCATGAGTTGAATTTGAAAGCTAAAACTGATAAATTAACAAAATTACAGTAACTTTATAAACGTATAAGTTGACCAAGCTCTTTTTCCTCCAATAATTTCTCCTCCCATTTCTCAATGGACACTTCAAAATGACGTGGAGGCATTTAAGTATATTCCTCAATCTTCTCATATTCTTCAATCAAAACTTTGTAGGACTACATAAGTTCGAATTTGGGATCTGAAACCTTACCAATTCAAATTCCTCATAACTATACATAACAAAAATGAATAGTTGTGGCTGAAAATTGTCCCTGGCTTTGTAGCTAGCAAGCATTTGACCAAACTTGTATATGTTTGCCTACCACTCAATATTAAAGTTTGGCTTTGGTTGGCTGGAAAACCAAGAATATTATCTTGCTACCACAAACATTGTTCAGTAAAATGGGCTTGCTGAGCAAAGGAATTCTTTAAGCCTGCCTTCAGGGCAAGGTTGTCAACCTCTAGCCCTCCTCTCCTCCATCTTTCTACACTGTAGAATTTTACATTCTAAAATGTACGGAGTTCAAAATGGATTCCTCACATTTTGAGCAAAAGATAGAAGAAGGTAGTTTGATCTCATATAGCCTTTGTGCATTTGAATTCTTCTTCTTCTTCTTCTATCTTTTGCTGTGAAAGGAAAGGAGGGGAAAATGGAGAAAAAAGGGACCATCTTGATGCAAAAATATGAGCTTGGGAGGTTGCTTGGTCAAGGGACCTTTGCAAAGGTATATCATGCAAGAAACATCAAGACAGGGCTCAGCGTCGCTGTCAAAATCATCGATAAAGAGAAGGTGATGAAGGTTGGTTTGATTGATCAAATCAAACGCGAAATTTCTGTCATGAGCCTGGTTAAACACTCCAATGTTGTCCAACTCTACGAGGTCATGGCTAGCAAGACTAAAATATATTTTGCCATGGAATTTGTCAAAGGTGGGGAGCTTTTCAATAAGGTGGCAAAAGGGAGACTCAAAGAAGATGCTGCAAGAAAATATTTCCAACAATTGATTGCTGCAGTTGATTTTTGCCACAGCAGAGGGGTGTACCACCGCGATCTCAAGCCAGAAAATCTCCTTCTTGACGAGAATGGAAATCTCAAAGTTTCAGACTTTGGATTGAGTGCATTGCATGAATCAAGAAGGCAAGATGGTCTCCTCCATACAACCTGTGGAACACCAGCCTATGTTGCCCCAGAGGTGATCAATAAGAAAGGGTATGACGGGGAAAAGGCCGATATTTGGTCGTGTGGAGTCATTCTTTTTGTTTTGCTCGCTGGTTATCTTCCATTTCATGATACAAATTTGATGGATATGTATAAGAAGATAAGCAGAGGAGAGTTCAAGTGCCCGCAATGGTTTCCCCCCGAGGTCAAGAAGCTCATGTCGCGAATTCTTGATCCAAATCCATGTACCAGAATGCCATTGTCTAAAATCATGGAAAATTCTTGGTTCAAAAAGGGATTCAAACAGATTGCAATTCCAATTCCTGATCTTGATGGCGCTGATTGGGAGGAGTTTGAATCACCACGTGGTGTTCTGGACATTCATGACGTATGTAAATCAGATTCAGAGGGAATTCATCAGCACAAGGAAGAAGTCATAACTAGGACAATGAAACCAACTTGTTTGAATGCATTCGACATCATATCTCTCTCACCTGGCTTCGATTTATCTGGCCTATTTATTAAAGATGTAAATTGCAAATCAGAAGCTCGATTCACCACGCAAATGCCACCATCAATGGTCGTGGCAAAGTTGGAGGAAATTGCAGCTATAGATAGTTTTAAGGTGAAGAAGAAAGATGGCATGGTGAAATTGCAAGGCAACAAAGGCGGTCGAAAAGGGCTGCTTGCAATAGATGCAGAGATTTTTGAAGTCACTCCTTCATTTCACATGGTGGAGGTGAAGAAGAGGGCAGGAGACACAATGGAATACAAGAAATTCTGTGATCAAGAATTGAGGCCTTCACTCAAGGGCATTGTATGGGATTGGCAAGACATTACCAACAAAGAACTACCTCGGAATTAACAATCCAGAGGATCAGATATGAGTGCAATTACCCTCTTGGATATATGGTTGTTTGTGGGATTTGATTTTTTTTTTTTTTTTTGTTGATAAGTATGAGGTTTCGAGTCCAAGACCTTCTACTTACAATCTCTTCCACGTTACCACTTAACGGAACACTCCCCCGTGGGACTTGATCCTAATCATCTTAGTTGCTCCAGGTTTCATGAATATGCAATTGGTATTTTCTTTTTTATTTTTCTTCTTTTTTTTTCTGGCCCTCTTGATTTAGTGAACTTTCAAAAGGCTCAGTTCTATATTACTCCAGATTTTTAAGCAGTCGATGTAGGAGAACAATGTACTCGATCATTAAAAGACGACCATTTCTCCAAGAAAATGATGAACTTCTTATTTTCTCTTTTAGTTATTCTCAACATGGTAAAAAGCAAATATACCTCTCGATTTGGTTTTGTCGAAGCTGTGGTATATTTTGTTTTTCAGTGATGCAGATACCATTCTGGTGTGTCTAATTGTTATATTTATTGCGTGATTTGGTATACACTC